CTTGACCTCTCTAAGTGGCTTTAAGAATCTGCTGGACTCCTGGCAGGGACCAATGCAGACATGTTCCTGTTTTTAGTTTTCTACATTCGCCTTAGAATCTAGCTGGTTTTTTTTTTTTGTTACCTTTTTCTTTTAGCCATCCTATTTGTAAAAAAAAAAAAAAAAAAAAAACGGCAGTATGACTTTTTATAATTGTTTATTGTTGTTGCTGTTGTCCATTGTTGTCATCTTTCTTTGTTGAAATCAGGTCTCTCTTGTAAATGAGTCCTCGAGACTCAATGGGATTTACCTGTCTAAATAAAGGTTGGATGAAAATGAAGTTTTACTGCGTTAGCTGTTCAGTTCCAGTCCAGAAATGACTCATTTTGTAACCTACAAACATTCACCATTCAAATGGCTCAGTGAGTGAAGTGGGACATGGGCGTACCGCTCGATTAGAAATGGTTTCAAAAGACTTTTGCAACTTTTGTAAATCTACATTTCTCCTCCTTCATTTACCCCTGACTGCTTGGACCATTGTCTTAGTTCTGAGCGTTGTTCAGTTTTAACAAGTGCTGCAAACCAACACTTCTTGTGCTGGCCAAGACAAACCACCAGCTGCAGTCGTGTCACACAGGAGATGTTCACAGGTCTTGGCCTTATCGAGTTAAGACATTCATAATCCTTTAGTTTCACTCATTAAAGCTGTAGGTGAACGTATTTATGTATCTGAATCTTTGTATATAATCTTGACCCTATGTGGAGAAAAGAAAATCAATTCTTGTTTTGAAAAGTGTTTGGACTTGTACCCCACCTCTTGTACAATGCCCACTGGAAATATTCACCAGTTCCACCTCAATATGAAAAGAAAAGAAAGGTAAAACATGGATTATGTTGTACAATCATTCCCCCCATCCCTCCAAAAATGGCAGTCTTGCTCATGATGAGTGTCTGTATACCTTAGACCAGAGCTGCATTAGTTGTATCAACATTTATTAAGATGAAGATTAAACGTGCAGAAATCATTCCTCACCCCACACACACACACACACAATCAGCTGGAAGGCCGGCTGCAGATCAGCTGTGTTTTCTGATGTGAGCTCGCGTGTGGGCCGTGCACAGCGTGGTATGACAGGTCTGTGTACAGCAGAACACTTTACGTTCCACGTCTCCATGTTTGTACGTCTGTCTAACATAAAGTTTTTTTACTCGCTGTGATGTGTGTGTGTGTGTGTGTGTGTGTAAAACTGCGCGCGCCGTATCCACAGAGGTGCACAAATAGCTCCTCGGGGTCCTCACGATCACAGCCTGCCAAAAGAAAAAGGATTTCCGAGAGGTTTCCTGCTCGTTATTTAAAGTGGGAGCCCTGTGGGACATGTTTGGCATTCTCATGCGCTCACTGAAGATGGCCTGTGATCCGGAGCCACTAACAGGCTTGACGGGCTTCGTCTCTCTCCGACTCTCTCTCCTTTCTCTTTCCCTCTGGCTCTCTGAAGTGATTACCCTGCTTGTGATTCCACTGACACCCACATGTCCCCCGGAGACACGCCGTCACCGGTTTGTTTAATCTGCCTCCCTGTACAGTAGGTAACGCAGCTGTAATTGAGGTGTGGATGGAGCTGCGGGAGCAGATGAAACCGATCGGAGGCTTTATGAAAACTTGTTGGCGCTCTGTTTCTCCTGGGATGCTCCCAGATTAACGTACAAAAGCAGCAGTGATAAGAATTGTTACAAGTTCAGCGTCAGTTCTTTGTCTTGTAATATTTTCCCCCCAGCCGTCAGTGAATGATGAGTCTTTTAATGTCAAGTCAGTATTTGAACATTCTAATAATGTTTTCAGAAATGTTGCCAGGAAAGTTATGGATCCATTTCAGATAATGACTTCTCAGAGATTAGAAATTAACCAAGCAGTCGAGCAGATGCTCAGTCGTGTTGACACGTGACGACCAGAAGTTACGCTGATACCTGAGACAGATTCCGCTTTATACTTTGTTTGAATGTTTGGTATGAAAACAGCGAGTTGAAGTGTGAAAATGCGAGCATCAGATCCTCTATCTGTTAGTGTCTCGCCTCTGTAACACGCCTGAACCGCTCCGTTCACAACATACAGGGTGTCAATCAGCGCTTCAAATCAGCCTTTAGATGTTGCAAAAACGGAAGCAAAAGCGATCCATAGAACGGAATTAATTAAATATACTGGATCAAGCTTCTTTGAAGAGATGGCATCTGTCCTCAGATGTGTAAAAAATAAAACTGATATCGTTTCAGACCCTATTATTGTGAGATAGCAGTAATTAAATTGACAGAGTTATTAATTGGGTTGAAGATAACTTGCACTGAGTCGAGGACATCTTAAACTCAATTAAAGATATCTCCAACTCAATTAAAGATATCCAAATGCCATGTCCTGTCGTACGCAATCAGGCTTTTAGTGGAGCAATAATATCAGTTCACTTGTGGCCCTTTTTAAATATTTTACAAAGACTTCCTTGTTCTTCTAAAGTTTTCTTTTTATCATTTAAAGCCCGACTTTTTGAACAGATGTCACTCTTTAGTGGGGTGTATGGTTTCTTTAATGTGGCATAATTATAGTATTTAATCCTTCCTTATCCAGTGTGTTTGAAATAGAAATCAAGATGAAGAGCTTCTGTCATGCATTTAAAGGGACAGTGCCAAGTTTTTGTATGAAGTAGGATGAGCTGATCCTCAGATCTGCTGCTTTAGACCTTTGAAGGTTTTAAACGACTTCAACTCTTCTAAGCAGCGCTAAAGTGCATCTATCAGCCACCAACAACTAAACTTTATTTATATTTAGTGTAGTTGTTGCTCCTTTCCATGTTTAAAAATGAAAATCACTAAGCAGTTTGGTAATAATTTGCAGGGTAAACGGATTAAATAAACTTTTTTTATTTTACTGATCTAAATTAATCTTTAGTTTAATTGGTTTTGTAGATTTAGTAACAAAAACAAGCGTGTTAAACATTTTCAGTAGAATTGGAAGGCTTGGGATAATTTTCAGACGTTTATTAAATATCACAACTGGGACCGTTTCAAGGTTACAGCAACATATTAAGATCATGCAAAGGAAAATAAATGAAAATGAAACTTCTTGAACACTAAAATTTTTACATTCAAGTTGATTGTAATAAAGTGAAAATACTACGAAAAAAGTCAAAATGTTGAAAAGAAGCTGAAAATGGAAACTATAATAAAGTTTATTCGTCTAGAGCACGGGTGTCCAAAGTGCGGTCCCATGGACATTTGTCGCCCTTAAAGTGATTTTGTGCGGCCCACGACTGTAATTTAAGAATGGTATCATTTTGAGGTTGATGCAGACGTAAACCTTCTGCCAAGTTATTGGTCTTACTTTTTTAATTCTCATGTTCATGTTTTATGACTCATGTTCATGCTGCTGTTGTTCTGCGTACTGTTTTTGTACTGTTAGTGCTTAGAGTATTCTTCGTTTAGCGTATTTCTTAGTTCATATCTTAGATCTTATTACTGTTTTTATTTTACAATTTGTACTTTGTTGGGTGTAAGTGGGACCCTGTGTACACAATTTTGTTCCACCACGTGTACCACATGTGGTGCGAATGACAATGAAGAAAACCTTGACCGTGGTAATTGATCCTGTTTTGTTTTTTCTTTCTATTTACTTGTACAAAACACCACAAACATTTACTGACTTCTACCAAAAAAGTCGACATTTGGATAATCATTTATAAAACCAAGCAAAATACAGCAAGTGTTTAGAACAAAAAATAATTAAAGTTGATTTAGTAACTGATATTAGGGAAATTGGACTTTTTCAAAGGAATATAAAGTGGTTTAATTTACATATAATTTATTTAATCAACTTTATTATAGTGGCCCTTTGAACTTTCTATGAATCTGTTTAGTGACTGTTTGATGTTTCAGAACTTCAGTCAATGTGTTCTGGTCCAACCCTCTTTTAGTGACTGTTTTTAAAGAACAGCTACTCGTATTACGGTTTTGTTTCTGAGAAAAGACTAAAATGAACTTTCCAAGCACAAGAAAATGAAAAACAATAAACTCAACAAATCAAATGTAACCCTTTTCTTTAAAAGAAAAGAAAAGATGAGGTTAATGTTTCTGAGGCTTTTAGTGTGTTGGGTCTACAACAACGTAGAACTCCTTCTCCATCAAAATTAGTCGACTTTGGCCCTTTCTCTAAAATACTGTTCACATTATTGTTGAGGACATTATTGTCCATGGGAGTTTAAGAGTGGGGGTAAATACGCTTCTATTTCTTGTTGCCTGCAAGTCATTTCATCTCGACAGTTTTGTCCCACGTGACCTGGAGCTACTATCCACACTCAGTTTTATCTCAGTAACTGTAACGTTGAGTTTTAGCCATTTTTGTGTTTGCTAAAGTTGATTAGCTGTGGCAGCCATCTTGAATCAGGTTGATTCAGATTTCATTTCCTGAAAGTTTCATTCATATCTGCTCAGAGATTTTTTGTTAAAAGACACAAACACATGGACAACTACGTGATGACATGATGACATCAAGTGATAAGCAGCATTGATGCAAATACCTACAGCAGCCATAAACTGTGTGCAACGACTGAGTGTTTACTTCAGATTAGGTCTAATTAAAGAGAAGTTGTTCTAGCACAGACTTAATAACGTGTCTGGAGCTATACACAAACTATAAATAGCTTCTAATAATTCAGAGCTTTTTTTGAGCTCCAGTTGTTTTGATTAGATTTTTAAAATAACAATCACTGTACATGTTTGAGACTTTTGTTTTGAAAAATTAAAAAATGTTCTGTAAATTCCTCCTGAGATATTTTTGACATCGCATTGAGCACTTCTTTATGATTGAACTGAAGCAATGCCATATTCTCGATAATAAACAAGATCAGCTGATTTGTTTACAGTATTTTCAGAAATGGAAGGTGATTGCTGCTTCATAGAAAAACAACTTCTGACTTGAAATTGTTTTTTGGATGCAGAATAAATCTGTGTTCAGCTTCTCCTCTTCTTTCACCCCCCAGGACGCTGTGCCAGCTGTGGGGAGAATGTGGTAGGTGAAGGCACCGGCTGCACGGCCATGGACCAGGTCTTCCATGTCAGCTGCTTCATCTGCATGACCTGCGGCACCAAGCTGCGTGGCAAGCCCTTCTACGCCATGGAGAAGAAGGCGTACTGCGAGCCTTGCTATATCGTAAGCTACCTCTGCCCTTTCTATCGCCCTTACTGAGACTCTCTCTGCTCCATCATACAGATGTGTTCTCAGTTTTTATATGACCCTCGAACGCAGCCGTATTATGGTATCATCTTTATACGTATGTGCGCAAACTTTCCTTTTCCTGCCCATAACTTCTGATCCATTCAAGGTAGTTTAATGAAATATGATATGCATCGTCATTAGAGGGAGTATCACGTTCATTTTTCATCACCACAGCTCCAAGGTCAAAGTCATATATCGAGGTCAAAGTTAAAGCCATGCTTCACCACTACAACTTCTCAACTGCTCAAGATTACTTAATGAAACTTGATTTGAATTTGTACCATTACTACATGGCATGTCACACCATCTTTTCATCACCACAGCTCCAAGGTCAAGGCCACAAATCAAAGTCTTAGGTTATACATAGTATTTGCTTGTTTGGACCATTGCTATAGATTGCTCTATTGTTGTATAATAGATTGTTGATGGGTGCATAATGTGCCGTACATGACACATTTGTTTAGATCTTGGTGAACTATCAGATACATGTTTAAACTACAACCCATATGATGAAACTACCATAGTCTCATAACTGTTTTATTACTCCATTGTTCAAGCTCAATGTTCAGTCAGGTCATCAGGACAGTTTCTTTTTTATTTATTTATTTTTTTTTTCCTGAGACATTTCTTCCTTTGAATGAAAGATGAAACATCTCAGCAAAAAAAAAAAGAAAGAAAAGAAACTGTCCAGATGATGTGACTGAAAATTGTTGTTTTATTACGCTTTTCAAAGCCACCAGGTTTAAATAGTGTTGGGTGTTTGACTTCATTCTATCCTTGATTTGTCTTGTTTCTACTTTTACCTAACACATTATCAGAGAATGAGACTATTGCTGCTTTGCGATTGGTAAATGCAGCTCCACTCTGCTCTCCTCTTCTCGGTTCTCCTCAAGTGTAGGTGATTTGCAACTATAGAGGCGGCTGACCTGTTTCCCTGCTCTGTGGGTGGGATCATCAATATAAAGTAGGCAGGATCGTAACAGGTTGTTGTGTTCGAGACACTCCGCCTGTTGTGGTTCTTAATCATCCTACAATTGCATTTGAATTTTGTTAGCTTATCTCGGCACAGCTTATTAGTTCGGTGTAGCCATGCTGCGCCATCAGCTCCGATATCTCTGTAAATTTGCTCATTTCTTGTTGCGCCATCTGTCAACACGATGAGGAAGTGGAGGTTCAGGTGTAGTTTGCAGTTTGCTGGGCGGATCATCCAATGACGTAGCTCCACTGGCCAATCAACAGCTGCTGTCTGCTTACGTCAACATCTTCCCCTCAGAGGAGCCCGCTTGGAACCTCAAACAAGGTGGTCCCTATAAATCGGGCTGAGTGAGGGTGGGGACCAGTAGTGGGCAGGCCCTTAACTGGTGCCATGTCGTGCAGAACCGATTAGAGCTGAGACAGTGGCAAAGCGTAATATAAGCTCATACCATCCATCCATTCACCCATTCACCCATCCATCCATCCATCTATCCATCCATTTTTTCCTACTTATCTATAGTCATGTCATGCAGTAAACACGTTTAAAGATCCCTCTTCTCAGAAACACTCTCCATGTTCTCCTAGGGGATTTTAAGATGTTTCCATGCCAGAGAGGATGTATAATCCCTTTATCAAGTTCTGGGTCTATATTGAGGTGTCTTCCCAGTGGGAAGCACCTGGAGGCATCATAATCAAATGTTCATACTGCCTCGGATGACTTCTTCATATACTGAGAAGCAGTGACTGCTTTGAGCCAGAGGATGGAACTCTTCAACTTATCTCTAAAGGGCCCTGCATATTCCAAACAAAGCTGCAAAGTCAGCTCTTACTGACATAGTTGCGTGACGATAATCGCTTAATTTTGTTCTCGTAGTACATTCTTGACACGAAGCCTGGGCCAAACTTTTTCTCACAGGCATATGCTCAAAGTATTATGTGATTGATCAGAAGTTTGTGGGCATGTTTGTCAACATGAAAAAGCACTTGGACATTCAGCTGTACGACTCTTCAAACACATTAATTAGTCAAATGGCCAAAAACTCTTGGATGGAGATCATGGAGGGGGGCGGTCTGCTGAAAATTGTGGCACTTTCTTCATGATAGATTTGTGGACAAACAGTGGATACAGGGGCAGAGTGGTGACCCTAGTGGGTAGAAACCCACACCATGATGTATACTGCAGCAGGAGGGATTTCCCAGGGGCTCTGCGCCATGTGTCTCATGGACTGTGAGATGTGTGTGCAAAAACAAACGTCTCATCACCACGTGACCGTGAGATGGCTGTTCAGCTTTGGATGGAGTATACAGAGCCCTTAGGGCAAAGCCCCACCACCCTATGAAGGAAGTCCATTTCAGCCACTTGTATCCCAGGTCACGTTTGTGCAGTCATGAAAAAAGTCTGATCCCAGCCTCTCAGCTGTGAACCATTTCAGTGCACGCAGAAGACCATGGCTTGAAGAAACAAAGATAACCACATCTGCAAAAAGCAGAAATGGGACCTTGAGGTACCCAAACCTGACACCCTAATCTCCATGGCTGTTTCTTGATATCTTGTCCATGAACGCAACATGCTCTTCAGCACACTACACTAAATGCCCTGGGAACATGGTCACAAGTATTTTACAGAAAACCACAAAACCCACGTTGACTAAAGAAACTCCTCTGTCCTGAGTAACTGCACGTGAAGGTGAAGCTCTCGGTCCACCTTTTCACAACGCAGACGAAAGACAATGTTCCCCCTGAATCAGAGATTTGACAATCAACCTATTTTCTCATTTTAGAACACCTCAGACTGACATAAAAAGAAATGATAGGCCACATTGCAGTTTAGCTGCAGAAAATCTGCACTGATTTCTGTTTTAGGCACAGTTTCATCAAAGGTTGTGTGTTAAAACTAGTTGAAGTCGTGTTTGAACCATCAGTTCTTGTTTTGCCATGTCAGATTTGTTTTTTTTATGTTTCAGAACATTTAGATCTTTTCATTTGTTCCCTCTGGTCAATACGATCAATTCACTTATATTTCAGCATTTTCACATTTCTCTTCCTTGCTGAATTAGATGATAATTATATGTTCAACGTTATTTATTCACACATCACTTAGAAGACGGCTACATTATTATCTGCAGTTACAGCCGATTAGCCAACAGGTATGGTTTAAGTTATGACAGAACAATACAGGGTGTAACTGTATTACATCAATAAGACAGAAGATTTTGTGTTTTTTTATATATATATAAGTTAAGTCAGGTCCTCTTCTATGAAGAATCCATCCATATGACCTGACTTAGCTTTGTTAGATTTAGTAGAAGTGTTTCCCCCATTCGGTTTTATTGGAATTTGGTTCAGTTTGGTCATTGAGGTCATTTTAATTCATGTACCGCTCTAGTTGTTTGTTATATTTTGGTAATTGTGGGTTGGCTGAATGAGAATCAGTTTTTTGCACAACATATATGTGTGTATAAGTAGATATGTGTGAGGATCATTTTAACATTTATCTCTGCAGCCCAATGTTTGTATTAACTTAATGTTACTTTAGCTTCTAGATCAGAGCTGTCGATCTAACTTTAACTATATTTTCTTGACCTATTAGTTAACAGGTCAAGAAAAAGCCAAACTCAGTCCTAGCCAAGGGCCAGTCTTAGTGATTAGTTAATTAAATTTTGATAAATTAATCTTGGTTTTCTACATGTAATTTTTCTAATTATTCATAAAGATATATGATGTACTGCTTCAAAAACTCTATAGAATTGTGTGAATCTATACCTTAATTGATTAAATAAAAGAAATAGGCCTAGTAGTCCCAGCAGGAATGCATATCGCCCTCCACCTTTCATGTCAGAGTTTTAAACAAAAATCTTTCGTTGAGAAATTGCAGAGTAGGAAACATTTTTTGTCAAACCTTAATACTATGTGCAATGTAACACAATGCAATCTCAAACTCAAAACTGGATACCTTTTTTTTGTGTGTAAATTTGTCAGTAAGGGTCAATTTGTCCCATTTTGATTTCCTTGTTGCTCTTTGTACATCAAAATGATAGATTAATGAAAACTTTTGTGTTTTCAGCTTCAAAATGAACTCAGTTTATTGAACACTATAGGAAGCAATTGAGACTCCATCGTCACAGACTGACCAACAGCTTCTCAAAGGAAATGTTCTCAGGGGTTAACAAAAATAGTCAAAATGACCTCATCTGGCCCGCAGCCCTTTAGTTTGACACATACGAAGATTATCATGCCAAATCAAATGAACGTGGAGAGATTCACGGGGAAAGAAAATAAGAAAAAGTAATTAAGGTTTATTATGTTTGCTTTAGGTGAATGTAGGTTAAAACATTTTAATAAACAAGAAGCTCAAAAATAACTCAGAATATACAAAAAATTGTTCTGGAAAACTTGAAAACCATTATAATTGGATTACGTCCATTCCTCTGGATGTACATTCAAATACATGTGTGCAGTTTTCTTCTGCATGTCTTGCAGGAAATGGTTTGATGTGCACTCCAGCAGTGAAAGTCTTGACCCTGAGCTGCATGACGTGTAAACCCAAGGCAGGCCAACTCCTAAATCTTCTCTCTTCAGGGGCACTCACTCTGATTGTAGTTGTCTTGTCTGGAAGTTCTCCAACTCCGATCCACGCACTAAAAAGGAATGGGATAATTTAGGAACTTTATTTATGCATTTCATCAGCATAAATGTTCTTCTGGCGTTAGATCAAAAGGATGGGGGGGGGGGGGGGTCTGAATTTCTTAATGAAAGTAATTTCTTCTTTTATTCTCATCCTGAGGGTCATACGCCTCGGTGCGATTAGAGAATGAACGTGAGAGCTGAGCCTCTGAGGAGAGATGTCCCAGAGAGGAGAAGGAAAACTTCAAGTCAGTCCAGGAATCTGACGTCTAACCAGCAGTAATCAGGCGCAGAAAACGTCATTTGGAGTGTAGATTTACAAACTGTTCAGTGAC